TATACATACAATACCAAGTACATGACCTCCGCACTTACATGTGTACAAACGTTACCATGTGTAAGCCACTGTAACTATTGAATGAAAACACCAGGAGACATATATATTCATAGCCACAAAGAGGACAATTGGCAAGCAAGGGAGAATGGGGGCCATGATGAATATTTTTCCACTATATCCAGACCTAATTTTTCTTCCAAAGTGGGGCATTTGGAAAAGTTTTTCACGAGGTAATGAAAGAGGTGAGGGCTTATTGGGCTGGTTGGGTACGGTGGCACCCGCGCCCGCATCAACTTTCTTTACTCTCACCATCCACCCAGTGATTGCTACATGACTTGCCTCCCACTGTCTCTTCAAAAAGATTTCTGGACGGGCCTCGATAAGGGCGAATTAGCAAGGAGGGATTTTTCCATTTTGTGGTGAGCTCTTTAGCTTGGGTTATTGTTGTACTTATTTAAGAATAAAAAATAAAATAAAAATGTAATTTTAATCCGGTTTAATGAATTTTCTTGGGCCCCCCTTTCCCTGTAATATGGAATCCTTTTTCGCCGTTTCAATTAAACCAGGAAATCAGCCTTAACTAGGCTTTCAAGTGGAATGGCATATCGAAGCTCTAATCGACCTTGATAGCTAGGAAAGGCAAGCTTGTTCTCGTTTGCATTTTGTAAGGAAGCAGCTTATTGGGTTTAGTGAATGTGCAGTGAAGGTATGGCATAGGCCAAATTCAGAATGAGTTTTTATTGCTGATATATGAATATACCTTTGTGTTGCATTCAATCTACTCTTCAGGAAGATTTAAATGTTATTTTTTTTTAGTTTTCATTGTTTTATTTCTATTATTATTAATTATATTTATTATTATTATTAATTATTATTGTGTCATTGATTGTTATATTTTTTTCCTATCGATCTTATTTTTTTATTATTTTATTTTAATTTTTTTTTTATTTTTATTCACATGAATTTATTTTTTTTTTTTTTTATTTTTTTTTTTTTATCTTTTTGTATTTTTTTTTATATTTTTTTATTTTTTTTTTTTTTTATTTTTATTTATTTTATGTTTTTTTTTTTTTTTTTATTTTTTTTTTTTTATTTTCTTTTTATTTTATTATTTTTTTTTTTTTTTATTTTTTTTTATTTTTTGTTCATATTATGATATCCTACATATTAATTCACAGGTAATTGGATATAGGTAATGGTGTTTCCGCTGCAATGCGTCTTGCTGAAATGGCAACTTTCTTGAAGGTGGACCACAACATGACACTGTTTGACAAGCTACAGGATATTTACAAGACGTTAGTTTTTATTAGGATTTTATTTATTTATTTTTTTAAATATAAATAATATCTCAGAAATCCAATCCAAGCGAGTGATCAACTTTGTTATACCTTTTTTTCTCCTTTTTCATTTCTTAGTTATTTATGAAATTATGGTTCATCTTTCAGATATGGATATCATATATGTAACAACTCATATTACATCTGTCATGACCAGAAAGTTATTAGTAAGATGTTTGAGAGAATAAGAAATTTCAATGGACCAAACTCTGTAAGTATATTTTGGTTATGTCTCGTGTTCTGTAGCTGTACAGCTGAATTTAATAAATTTTAGGATTTTGATGGTATGTGACATATAACCTCAGTTATTTGCACACTATCATTTATAGTTTTCTTATTGAAGTATTAACAGTTAATGCCATGAAGTAAATATTTTTATGCCAATGTACTCCTAATCAGATCTATAATTTCACCTTTTTTTACTTCACAGTATCCTAAATCAGTGTGCAATGGAAAGTTCACAATATCTGATGTTCGTGATTTGACAACTGGCTATGACTCCTCTCAGCCAGACAAGAAAGCCATACTGCCTGTATCGGCCTCAAGCCAGATGATCACCTTCTCTTTCTCCAATGGGTGCGTTCTCACCCTCAGGACCAGTGGAACAGAGCCGAAGATCAAGTACTACTCAGAAATGTGTGCCAAGCCTGAACAACAGTGAGTGTTGAATCTGGATAAGTATATACTAATTTTAAAGTTTAGATATACTTCTTCAGTTCAAATATGCTTATTTACTTACAGCATTGGGTATGAAATTTTTCATTTATTTTATGCATAACATGTTTCATTGCAGTGATTGGAGTGCCCTTGAAGCTGAACTAGCAGAACTAGTGGAAGGTGTCATTCAAGAAATGATGGAGCCAGAGAAAAACAACCTCATTCCCAGAGCAGATTAAGAGACATTGCTGAACTTGGAATCAGGCACTGAAGTCTTTTGGAAAGGGATGCCTCTGTGCCATACTATTTAAAGAAAGACAAGTTGACATTTCTCAGTTGAAATATTTATAGATGCTGCCGTGTGGGGAAGTATTTTTTTCCTTTTTCCAAGGATATTTAGTAATTTTTATGTATTTGTAAATATATTATGTTTTTAATATATATAAATAAGACCATTGTACTTGGGTTCACATGTTAATTTGTCATAAAGTGGTAATTTGGTTTATTAAGAAAATTTTGTTAATATGGATGTATAGTACTATTCAAATGCCCAATTAAGATCTAATTATGATTAACAATTGATTAAAGTTATTTCTTCAAGGATTGAAAAATAAAGGTCTTCAGTTTTGTTTTTCTTCAGATAAGTGAATAATGATGTACAAACTGTTACAGAGTACAGAGTGCCAGGTTATATTTTGCTATTAGATGTGTCTGAAACAGACATACGATATTATTAAAGCATATATTACAATTTACATTTTTTATAATCATTAATATCTCTATACAGATGGTAAAAATTGTAATTATGAGGATAATTCAGATATAAATGATGATCATATACCGACCAATGTAATTGTTCAGTTCTGCATATGCTTTATTATCATCAAATATGGCAACAGACTACATAGATTTTAAAAAATAAAACATTTTTATTCTGTGTTAGAATGGCAAATACTGTCAAAAGCCTTTAGTTAATAACTTACTTTCCTCTTCAACATCATTCAACAATGATTATTTACACAAGCTAAAATAATGCAGCAGGCAGGATGTAAAGTAATCATGGAGTTAAAAGAGCCAAACGATGGGGTAATGCAGTCTTTTGTAGAAGGGATACGAGGTAGGCTGTAAGTTCGAGTCGGGGAGAAGGATAATATTTCAGTATATTAACTTGCTCTTAGATCAAGTAAAATGAACTAGAGACATGATATTTGTACTTTTTTGTCATATATAAACTTGAGGACTTGACTGTGGTATTGGAATAGAGATACAATTGGATTCATTGTTAGTATTTACTCCAATAAAATAAAAATATTGTTATATGCACACTAACTCAGTTCCCTAGGATATATCACATATCAGTCTCTGGTCGATTTGCTGCATTACCAGCATTGCTGTACCACGTCCAATAATGTGGGTCTGGATGCTGTTACCAGGAGTCAGAAATCCTCAAATTCTAGGACCTTGCAAAGTCTCGGAAAAGGAGGCTCTGGCATCAGCGCCCAAACCATGTGGACCAACAGACATCTCATAGCCAGCTCGATCACAGCCAGATATCGCCTTGAAGTCACCCAGAACAATACGAATATCTCGCCGGAGACCGCTGTCTGACACAGATGCTAGTTTTGTGTAGAACATCTCTTTCACGTCGAGTTTACAAACATTGGTAGGAGCGTACACAACAATAAGAGACAGGAAGCCAAATGATAGCTTCAGTCTCATTACCATTATAGGCTCATCAACTGGAGTAACCTCTACTACCAGGGGCGGGTGTCTGCTGGAGATGGTGACTGTTGCTGTGACCTGACCAGTAATAGGTGTAGCTACCTACACTGATCGTGCCGCTGCCAGGTCTTCTCACCTCCCACAGCCTGCCTCTCTTGCTGAGTGGGAGGGGCATTTCCCCTCCCAGCATTTCCAGTTATAATATACATTGCCGATGGGTACCCCCCCCCCCATCCCTTGCCGGTTGTTGTCGTGGGGGGGGGGCTTAGGAGACGGAGACTGAGACCCAGTACAGGGATCTCCCTGCGTAGGGCCTCAGCCCTCGACTCAACTAATTTTGCATGGTCTTTTCTCCCTCCAGCTTTTTGTTTCCGTCCCTTCTCCAACCCCTTCTACTATCTACTTCCCAAGGTGTAAGAGCCATGCTGAAAGGATGAAAGGCTGACCTTGTGCCAGTCCTGAACGGCCTGCGGGAACCATGGACACAGTACTCCCCTGATTTAGTTGTCTAGTCCTTACCCCCGTACAGGGCACTGGGGTGGATTGTTTATTTCCCTTACATAATCAAGGCTTCCCATGGCCAGTAATGAAGATGTAATACCCTTATTGGTGGCAATGAGGCTTGCGCCTTCATCAAATAGCCCCACCGGCTCCCCGACCCCAGGCTCTCCTTTGACCACGACTCCGAACACTGAAACTACTATCTACTCCTCTACTAGTGCATTACCCACCCAAGCAGAGACTCAACCACCAGAAGACATTCCTACCCTCCCAACTTCTTCAAATTCATCAACTCTACCCCCACAACCTTCATCAAAACATCCCATCCTCCCTTTAACTACCTTACAGCCTTATTCTCCATCACTCCGTAATACTCCCTCTTCCATACGTCCCGGCCCATCCACCACCACCAATCCTACAAATATCTTAAATACTCTGTTTAGCCCAGCTAAATGGGACCGGATTTTTCGTGATCCCTTCTACAGCTTATTGCTCAGGGAACACTTCTCTTTCAACAATGCCTCAAAAAACAAGTGGGCAGAGTCCCTTTCTATACCAGACGCGATCGCTCCCATCTTGTAACATTCAAATCAGAAACCGAATCTATAGCACTGTCAAATTTAACTGATCATTCTGGCAACCCCATTCCTGCAGAACCTCCTCCAACCCTTAATACTTGTGCCGGAACTGTCTCCCTCTCTCCCCAGCAAACTGCCCAGTCGATACTAAAGACTTATTAGGATGCCTCAAAGACCCAGATGTGAAATTAGTACATTGCTACACCATTCCTCCTAGGGGTCAACGAAAGAATCCGACCAACATTACCAAAAATTACTTTCCGTACACATGACCTTCCCTTACGTATATACACTGGTGGACAAACCCTCCCTGTTCGACCATACCAACCCCCTCCCCGTCAATGTCAAAACTGTTGGCGCTTTGGACATCCTGCCAAACACTGCCGTTCCACAGACCGATGCCCCTTATGTGCCCAACCTGGTCAAAACCGATCAAACTGCTATGCACAAACGCGTACATCTGCTAACTGCGGCGGCCCCCATAATGTATTTTATAGAGGCTGTCCCACTTACAAGTTTGAATCTGAGGTAGCAACTCTCAGATACAAAAATGGTCTCACTTTACGTGAAGCCAGACAAAGCACGTCGACAAGGTTTCTCTCATACTCCCTACTCAAGTAATGTCGCTCGTTCTGCCCCTCCCCCTCCACCTCAAAATGTCCCTACACCCTCCCCTATACCTACTTACTTCCCCACTTACTTCCACTTCTGCATTCTACCTCCCCAGTCAAATTCTTTTGCCACTCTAAATTCAGACACCCCAATCTCAACCACAGCTCCAACCTCAACTACAGCCCCAACACCATCCCCTCTCCCTCCCCGTACTACCCGCAGTAGACAGACTAAACGTTCCACCCCTTCTTCCCATACCGCACACTCACTTTCACCTACTTTTACCTTTACTCCTCAGACACCAGTCTCCTCTTCCCCCCCTCATAAGAAAACCTTTGTCCCACAAAACTCTCCAACCAACTCCACTGCAGAAACTATGGAAGATATTCAAAGATATATGCTTGAGACACAAAATTCCTTAACTCATGCTGCCTCCACACTGGAAGTGATTGGCGATATCCATACCCCTCCTACTCATATTCCCCCTACACCCCTTCCTCCCACCCCCTCTCAACACAACCTAACCCCCTCAATTCCGTCCACCACCGATATCCATCCCCCCTTTTCCTCATAGCACCCCTACACCCCTTCCTCCTAATCCCTCCCAAGACAACACATCCCCTTCAACTCCAATTATCCATCCTTCCGATATCCATCCTCCTACCACTAATATCCCCCCACACCACTCCCTCATACCCCCTCCCAACACAACCAACCCCCTTCAACTCCAACTATACGCACATTTTCCCTCCCTCCATCCCCTATATCCTTTCCACTCCCTCCCGGATACACACGTGAATCACTCATGTCACAACAATGCCCTTCCCCAGATTCCCTACCTCCTGATACCCCTCCTTTACACCCTCTACCCCCCCCCCCCAGATTCCCTTACACGTAGAGGCGCTTTCGCTCATAAAATAACTAAGATATAGCTCTCCTACACTGGAATATTCGCGGTTTCCGTTCTCACAGACCAGACCTACGTCATATCCTTGCTTACAACCTGTTCTTCCTCAGACGCATAAATATCCTTCACTTGATCTAATTCCCTAACCTAAACCACCCTTACCCATCTTCAACTTTCCACATATCCACATGCGGGTGGGCCATGACCCTGTACCTTTAGGGTCTCCTGCTGCTCTGAGATCCCCCACAGTTTAGCCTGGGACCGCAAGGTAACCAATTTTCCATGGGAGGCCACGAGGAGGCATTGCAGAAGTCTCGATGGAGAGGCTGTGCACTGGCAGGGAAGGCTTATGCAGAGCTGCTCCCTTTTTCGCACTAGGCTAGCCAGCGGTGGCAGCTGAAAGCGAGAAGGCATGCACGCACTTAATACTATCTAGGCTACTGCACCATCGCTTCACATTACCCTGCGTGTGAAGCACTCGCCATATTATATTTGTGCAGGGTAAATATAATCTTTAGAGTAACATAAAATTTATTTAAGCTTAACATACACAACAAAATGCATATTTGAAGTAAAAATACCATAGAGAGTTCTTAACGAACTACGAGATGCAGCATTCCACTTCCGACAGTTCCTCAACGACCTCCATCCTGATCACTGAATCGCCTTTGATCCCGTAATCCCCCAGGCGTTTATGATTCAGCATTTCCACGTTTCCCGCCATCAGACGCTGCCTGCTGGCTTTCGCGACACCATCCTCAAGCTCCAACTCTTCCTTCACATCTCGAATGAAAGTGTCAAGCTGCACCAAAACTTTTTTGACGCTTCCTGAAGGTAGTAGCACAGTGAGGAGGAAACCTGACTCCGCGTAGGCCCTTTTGTGCTCCATGGCAAGAGTTTCTATAGACCTTCGTTCCTGGTACCCGAGAATCGTCGAGTTGAAGCATCAAGTTGTCCCTCCTACGCTCCCACTTTCTGTTGTGGAGAGATTATCCCCTGTCTTTATCAAAGAAAGAAGTGATTTATGAAATAATACATATATTATATGTGTGTGTATATTTAATGCATCCCCTATATATTTGTATCGCTTTCACCAAGTATCTACGCCGTTTTCACTGTTTATGCCAGTTTCACATTTATACCAAACGCCAGAGCATCAGAGGGAAAACGGGCCGAAACGGGGTTCGAAGGATATATTTACCTTTTGATGTAAGAATTGTACTTCAATAGTTATAAAAAGTCCACGTAATGGAAACTTGAGCAATCGATGATTTATAGAGCACAATTTTCGGTTTATATACTGGCGCGGCCATGTTGGATACAAGACAGGATAAAGTTTGATAGTTATATAAAGTACAATTCTTGCTTTAAAAGATAACAAACAATGTCCTGCAAGCCGCGTTTCGGCCCGATTTGCCTCCGATTCGGTCCGTTTCGGTTCTTTCTTCATCTCAGTGAGGCGCCACCCGATGCACCGCCATGCGATTGTTGCTTCATGTGTTTGCTGATAAACCTCTCTGTATATATATATGTAAATGTATATGTATACATACATGTATATGTGTGTATATACGTTTGTGTGTATGTACGTTTGTAAATAAGTACATATTTG